AAATAAATAAATAAATAAATAAATAAATAAATAAATAAATAAATAAATAAATAAATAAAGTAGTAAAAGCCAGGCTTTGTGGCTTTAATTCTAGCACTCAGGAGGCAGAGGCAGGCAGATCACTGTAAGTTCCAGACCAGCCTGGTCTAGAAATCGAGTTTCAGGACAGCCAGAGTGGTTACAGAGAGAAACCCTGTCTCAAAAATAAAAAATAAATAAATAAATTGTGCTAGGACTAATGGTTGCTGGTGGAATGGTGAGGGCGCTGGGAAGTTACTCTCACTCAGCCCTAATGGCATGCAGGTCTGGGGGAAGGTATAACAGCAGAAGGAGGGCTTGATGGGAGGGAGGGAGGAAGGCGTGGGAGGAAGAGGGAAGGGGATGAGAGAGGGTAAGGGGGAGGATTGGACCAAAGTACATAGCAAGTAGGCATGAAATTGTGAAAGGATAAAAAACAAAACGGGAAACACTCAGGAAGACAGCTGAGGCCCACCTGAGCACACACCTGCATGCCCACCCATGCCCACACGAAACTAAGAACGGAGGCTTCGCCCAACAAAAATAAGAGACAGTACTCCCACTTTCCAGCGGACTGGTTCCTCACGGTCTCCCAGGAACACTGAGCTCTATGGCATACAGTAGGCTCTCAACCAGATTTTAAAAAGAGATGCTGTGGGGCTGGAGAGATGGCTCAGAGGTTAAGAGCATTGGTTGCTCTTCCAGAGGTCATGAGTTCAATTCCCAGCAACCACATAATGGCTCACAACCATCTGTAATGAGATCTGGTGCCCTCTTCTAGTGTACAGGTGTACATGCAAACACATATTATACATAATAAATAAATAAATGTTTAAAAAAAAAAAAGAGATGCTGTATAAACAGGGAAACGGAGGCTCAGGAAGTTGAGGTGAGACTCAAGTCGCACAGCAGGTAGATGAGAGACTGGGGAGTAGAGCCAATTCCCTCTCCCTCAAAGATTTTTGGTCACATCCAGGAAGTGGCCAGCTCTGGAGATGGCTTTTCTCCTTGGTACCCAGTGGAAAGAGGGAACTCCGCGGTGGCATTTGTTGACAATTGCCGATCGAGTTAGACAGTACTATATAACCCACCTAGGACAGAGGCCGAAGGAGAGTCTCACAGAGCGGCCACACAGGATGGAAGAGAGGAACGAAGGAGACACTCCTGACTCTGAGTTCCAGTCCCAAGGAACTAGAGTGGGGTATCTTAGGCACATTCCAGGATGCTTCCCGGAAGCTCTTCAGGGACAAGAGCTCAGCAGTCAGATGGCCTCGGGTTCAAATTCTGTCCCTTGGTTTACTAATTTCAAGTCAGGAACAGCTATGCAACCTTAGCTCAATGCTATTATGATGAGGACTAGAAATGAGATGCTTTAAGTGACGGCAGGCTGGGGACATTCGTGTTTATTCATAGGAGCCAGGGAGACATTCACACACACACACACACACACACACACACACACACACTCACACACACAAAGGGTCCCCTTCGAGAGGCCTGTTTGTCCATTCTCCTACCTTCTGTGGCTCCACCCCTTTTCTCCCCTAATCCAAGCTGCCAAGCCACACCCCAAGAGAACACACTCTCTTCTTCCTATATGAAGGGATGTGGGGACAGGCCCTATCTCTCAACAGTTTTACTATAACCAGGTAAAGCCAAACCTCTGGGCAGCACAAATGTAGAAGCCACAAGGTCTCTGTTCCTGCCTTAGAGCCCCATGAATGTTCACTGTGGGTCACGTGCTTTGGGGGGGTGGGGCATCACTGCAGAAGCCCTGTCCTGCCCGTGGACCTCACCTCCAGTGGGGCGGGCTACAAGATGATTCTAGAAAAGGGACAGGTCTGTGAAGGAAAGAATAATGTCTCTCTCCGAGGGGGGAGGCAGTAGCTCACTCCACAAGACAGGGACAGGCAAACACCATCTTCAGGAGCACAGAGGAGCCGGCTGGACTGGAAGGACAGTGGGCCTGGGTCCTGGGTGTGATGATGCCCATAGGCAGTGACGTCACCCAAGAGGGAACGAGGGGAAAGCTGACATCTGAAGTGGTGAGGTCTTATCCTGCCAGAGGGAGGAGCTCGGGCTTCATTCTCAGCATGAGGAAAGCCAGCAGCCAGTGAGAAGCAAGGACACAAGCTAATCTTAGTAGATTGCTGGAGCTGGTGGAAGGGATAGAGAGAGCCTGGATGGAAATCCATGTATGTGTGTGTGTGTGTGTGCTGGGGTGACAGGGAGTCCTCAGTGTAGATGAATTTTAATTCAGATCATGGATGCTCCGGCAAGAGGTCTCATCTGAAGACCTTCTAGGTCTGTGTGATCTAGCTGAAATAAAGACACGCCTTTAATCCAGTAGACAGAGGTAAGTAAATCTTTGAGTTCAAGGCCAGCCTGGTATACAGCAAGTTTCAGGTAAAGGATAGCTTAGGTCCAGGCATGGCGGTACATGCTTTTAATCCCAGCACTCCGGAGACAGAGGCTTCCTGATCTCTGAGTTGCAGTCAGCTCTGTTCGGTTGAGTCAGTGAGTTGAGAGGCAGTGCAGTGGAGCTGAGTTCGTGGCAGTTCAGTTTGTGGAATTCAGAGGCAGTTTGAACTCTCTACTGGGAGAGTTTTACAGAGAGAGAGGTTGAAGAGAGAACAAGGTAGATAACAGGTGAAGACAGAACGAGCCAGAGAATGAGAAGGAGCCAGAGGATTAGAAGAGATTGCTAGAGTTAGTTTGAGGCAAAGCACAGCAATTCAGTGAGAAGCTTAGAGAAGCCAGATTGAATCAGTCATCTGGGAAAGGAGTTTGAGCCAGAACAGTTGAGTTGAACCAGCCAGTCAGTTTTCAGAAAGAACTAGAAAGGGTGAGCTTATTCAGCAGTAAGTCTCAGAGGCTGAAAACATTCTAGGTCTAGGTTAGCTTGTACGGAGGCTAGAAGATTCCAGGACTAGGCCTAGGTTAGCAGACGGAAGTAGTAAGCCTCCAAGATGACAGGCGAATAAAATAAAATACAGGTCGGGGCTGGAGTTCATCTGGAGGAAGGCAGGCTGGGTGTTGATGCTGTTCTAGGAAAGGCTGTAGTGGCCTGGTCACTATGCGCCAATTCAGAGGCTTCTGGGACAAGAACCCACGGCCTTGCGCACACTAGGCAGGGGCTCACCATTGAGCCACAACATCAGTATCTTGATTCTCCTTCTGGCCAAAGGAGGCTTTCAAAGACTACTCCGGTCTTCCCCGGGGGCAGACCCGGAGTCTGCACTAGGGAAGTGGGAAATAAGCCTTCAACTGGGGTGTGCATGCCATATAGAAATATGTGCAGGAGGCAGAGCAGATAGATCTCTGTGAGTCTGAGGCTAGCCTGGTCTACATTGTGAGTTCCAGCCAAGGCTTCGCAGTGAGACCCTGTTAAGAAAAAAAAAGTTTTAGCAAGTAGTTGATAATTATAATCTCAGAACTATAGAGGCTGAGGCAAGAGGAGAGAAGGCCTATGTAGTGAGTTTTAGGCCAGCCTGGGCTACATAATGAGACTGTCTCAGGACAAAACAAAAACCTACAAACAAACAAAAGAGGATGAGGAAGAAGAGAGAAGGAAGGGGGGCAGATTTCCCTTTTCAGTGACTATCCCCCAAACAGAACAGCTTCCTTCCCAGTCCTGTGAGCAGAGGATGCCGCAGTGAGGACCCCTCAGAGAAAGGGGATGTCTTGTTCTGAGACTCAGTTTCCTGGTGGTTTGTTTGGTGGTAGGGATGGAGCCCAGGACTCTGAGCATCAGACCGGCACTCTCCCCACTGAGCCACAATCCCAGCCCAGCCACTGAGGCTTTTTTAAATCTCAGTCTCTCTGCTCTCAAAGCAGCTGGTCTGCTGTTTATGGCCTTGAAGATGGTTGCTGGGGAAACCAGCCACATGGATTAAAATGTCCTCTCAGGGGGGAGACAGCACAGGCAGCCTCAGATCCAGGGACACCCAAGCGTTCATTGATTAATCTAGTACCAGAAAGCCAGAAGCCCTGCTCCCCAGGTTCCTGGCTGCTTGAAATCAATTATTTACCTTTATGCCAAGGAGAAGAGGGAACAGCAAAGGCACACAGCTTGGTGAATGCTTTGCTTTGCTCTTCTTTCTTTCTCCCTCTCTTTCTTTCTTTCTTTCTTTCTTTCTTTCTTTCTTTCTTTCTTTCTTTCTTTCTTTCTTTCTTTCTTCTTTCCTTCCTTCCTATTATTTAAGGT